AAACATATTTTTCGAGTAAATAAACAAACGCCAGTTCATTGTATTGACCAGCTGTTTCATTAACTAAATTAAATTAAATCATTTAAACTTTGGAAGCATGCCAGGTGTAGGCCCTTTGGAAATCAGCCTGTGGGGCAGAGCCCTTAGGATATTCGTCCATATCGATACTTTTCGGCAAATCTACACACTCTGAGCTTCATTTTGTTGTGCCATTAGCCTATATTTTTATTTGGTAAATGGCCTTAACCGTTTACATAAAATTTGAATGTATCACTTTAATAATATAATAGATAATAATGTGTAAACATTTAATTTTGACAGTTTCAGTAGTAGACTTTTGAATACAATTTTAATATTAACAGCTGGTTCATTAAAAGTAGTGTAAAATTATCCATATGGTCGTAATGTAAACAAAACTGCTGAGTGAACTTTAAAGGCCTCTGGGGCAGAGCCCCAAGGAAATTTACCTCGTTTCTCTTTTGAGGGCTCACCTACAGACCAATACCTTTCTTTAGACACCCCTACCAAGTTTCTACACTCAGCCGTTCTCTCAAATTAGCTGTGACAAAACCCCGTTTTTCCTCCATAAGAATAACATGGGATGGGAATTTAAAGGCCACTGGGGCAGAGCCCCGAAGGAATTTACCACGTTTCTCTTTTGATGGCTCATCTACAGACCAAGACCTTTCTTTAGACACCTCTACCAAGTTTCTACGCCCAGCCGTTCTCTCAAATTAGCTGTCACAAAGAAATATAGATTTTGATGGCCTGTGGGGCAAAGCCCGAGGACTTTTATTACAGGAATTGGTGAAAGGGGGAGTCTACACAAAAAAATACTTTATTTTGATACCTCATTTGTAAACATCCGTCCATTATTAACGGAGGAGTAGTGTTTCGTAGAAATCGCCTTCTTGTATCTCTATATATAAATATGAAATTCCCATCAACGCACAGGCCATACCATAGCACCTAGAAGCATGAGATTTTGCATACATGTTCCTCTCATAGCGTAGTAGGCAGACAATAAGAAGAGATTTTACCAAATTCCCAATGGGTTCCGCCCCACAGAAGATCAAAGTTAGCATGGAGTTCATATAGGAAGAATAATTTGTTTTGGGTTTTTGTTTACATTTGTCTGCAATTTATTTAATCGTCAGCTGTTAAAATAAAAATTAAGTTTACTAAGGTTATTTTGGACCATATAAACATCATAGTTGTGTACATATTAGTGAAATTAACCTAATTTATTGTGGTATTTTAGTTGTATCAACTTCTAATATGTGTTGAAGAAAGTAGAATCTAACTTAGTTTTTTATTGCATTTTAATTTTTAAGAACTAACTTATGATACAGTTATGTTAATATTTTGTAGTTGTTTAAACCTTTTCGTAGTATGGACACTAAGGTTTTAAAATGTTAATGGCGAATTCGTTTCACACAATATCATTCACATCGGAGGTGATGGTGCGTGTTTATTTACTTCACTCTCATTCATTATTCACCTTACACACATACACACACTAACTGTGCGCGAAGAAATTGTTAAACATTGCTGTAGGAAACTGGGACTACTTATCCCACGACAGTTACAGGAATAATTCCCATATTTCCAGGGAATACTTCTATGAAATGTCTAAGCCGTTTACTTTTGATGGGTTGTGTGAGCTGGTTGCGGCTTCACAACTATTCACATTTGTTTTCGAAGTTTATCGGAATGGTGAATTATATGTCAAGTTTGGTGATGAACGTAATCCCGTGAAAAGATCAGATGTACACAATCCCTGTCTAGCGGGACTTGGACGTTTTGGAGCCACAAAACGAGCCCGATTCTCCCGATTGTCAGCCGATCCCGGAGTTTCAACAATATACATCAAGGCGTAAACGGCGTAGCAGGTGCACAGACAAACCAAGGAAAAATTAGGTGAAGAACTCAAGCAAAAAGTATAAACAAACTCAACCTGAAAGACATTCGCCAAAGATTCAATGTATGGTGAAAAATTTATCAGCAATGGCATATAATATACAACAATGATACAATTGTTGACTGACAACTGATGTTGACTTGACTAAAAGTATTGTTGACTTGACAACTCTGATACAAAAGTACAGAGTTATTGCTAAAAGATTTTTCTAACAATATTAACAAAGAATTAGGGCAGGGCAATCAAGTAATAGTAACTTTTATAGACTTTACTAAAGCTTTTGATACACTGCAGTTTGATAAAATATTGACAGCACTCAAGGACATAGGAATTTCTGGCAGGTTTTTAGAATGGTTTAGAGACTATCTGAAAAACAGAAAAATTATTGTAAAAGTGCATAGTACATTTAGTGAAGAGGCAGAACTTTTTTCTGGGGTACCTCAAGGAAGTATTTTGGGCCCAATCTTATATATAATATATGCAAATACACTCCCAAAATATATAAAAGAAGCCACGGTTTTTATGTACGCTGATGACACTGCAATTGTCGTATCAAACAAAAATATAATAGAGGCAGAAAAAAATATGCAGAATGCTGTTAACAACCTTTTAGAATGGTGTCATGATTATGGATTGGTAATAAATGACAAAAAGTCCAAGGTCATGAATGTGCATTCACCTGCATTTAAATGTTCTAATGTAAGCATTACTTACCATAATTTTGATTGTTTACATAATCATACTTACTCACTTATCCCAAAAAGTTGTTAATGTAAGAGTTTAGAGAATGTGCATGATTTTAAATATTTAGGGGTTCATGTTGACCACAATTTTAAATGGGATATACATGTTAATTATGTTTGTAAAAAAATCAGATCATGTGTTTGCAAATTTTTTTATTTAAAATGTGTCCTGTCATTTAATGTGCTATTGGTGATTTACCAGTCATTGTGTGAATCAATATTAAGATATGGTGTGAGAGCATGGGGCAATGCTTCAAAGACTTCTCTGAGGAAAATTGAGCATCTGCAGGAGCAAGCGCTCAAATGTATTGTTCCAGTGCACATTAAGCAGTTACCAATTATAAAGATTTTTCATTTTGTTAGACTGCTACCTGTTAGTAAGTTATATATTTTTTTGATATCCACTGATCATTTATTTGATGACAGCTTGAAAATAGTCAATAATCACCCATATGATGTTAGAAGGAATTATTATTTTGTACCAAAGCACAGGAATAAGTATGGAAGTAGAACACTTGAAGTTTTTGTTCCCAAATGTTTTAATAACCTCACAAATCATATGGTTTTTGCAAATAGTTATAGCATTTTTTTTTTATCACAATTTTATTTACAATCTGTTCATTTTTAGAACATTTAGCAAATACAATAACAAATTTTAATAAAACGTTAGTTAATCTCTGTCCATTGACAGAGCTAACTTAAAAATATTTCAATGAAAACATAAATATGTAAATAAACAAGGGAAAATTAAATTGTTCAAACAAAACGTGTGCTTAGATCCAAAACATGAATCCTTTTTAGCCTGTATATACTGGTGCTGTTGTCCAAGAGGTTTAGAGCCAGGTGATTAGGGTGATTTTCAAGTTTCTTTAGATATTTTGCACTAAATTTGGTTATTTCCTCTTCAACCGTAGGAATTCCACTGTCCTTGTGAAGGATATTGTTATTAACATACCACGGGGCTTGCAGAATGAACCTTAAAACTTTTGACTGAAATCGTTGGATAATGTTTATGTTCGACATACTGGACGTTCCCCACAGTTGGATTCCATAAGTCCAAATTGGCTTCAGTATTACTTTGTATAGTAATAATTTATTTGCAATGGTCAATTTTGATTTACTATTTAGGAGCCAGGAAAGATTTTTAAATTTTAAATTTAGGTACATTCTTTTATTCCAGATATGGGTTTTCCAGGTTAATCTTTTGTCAATCGTCATGCCGAGATATTTCACATCGTGGGATTGCGGAATTTGGACATTATTTAAGGTTACAGGAGGACAAGTACCTAATCTGGTAGTGAAGGTCACAGGAGTAGATTTGCTCTCATTCACTTTTATTTTCCATGTTTGCAACCATTCTTCTAAGTCATCTAGGGAATTTTGAAGATTAAGTGAAGCTACCACTGGATCAGGATGGGACGCTAAAATAGCTGTATCGTCAGCAAAAGTGGCCACAGAAGTATTCACATTTTTAGGTAGATCGGCTGTAAACAGAGTATATAGTACAGGTCCGAGAACACTTCCTTGGGGAACGCCAGCTTGAATTGGGTACAATTTTGTAATGCTATCTCCAAATTTAACTCTGAAATATCTGTCGGTTAGGTATGATTTAATTGTCATGTAAAATGTATGAGGAAGCCCAAGTAGCAACACAATATTGTTAAAATGTTGAAATAATGTTGCTTAACATTGTCAACAATATTGTTCTGAGAATATTGTTTTAATGTTGAAGCAAGATTTTCCCAACATTGATCAACGTTTTATGAAAATATTGTTTGATAATATTGATTAATGTTGAAAAAACATTATTTCAACATTAACACATTATTTTCCCAACATTGATCAACATTTATTGAAAACATTGTTGTCAATATTGAATAATGTTGAAATAATTTTTATTTCAACATTGAAACAACATTAATAAGATTGAAAACTGTTTATGGACTCAGCTCATCCTGAAAATCAAAATAAATATAAACTAGGCTTTTATTAAGTAATAAAGGGAATAAGGTTGATGCTAAAAACAAAATACTAAAATAAAAATTCTACCCAAACGGGTAGAAACAAAAATATCTTCAATTTAAATTAGAACTATTTTCTTGTGCGCGCCATTAAAACGCGCGCGGATGGATCTATCTATTAGCTAGCATCTAGCATGGTAGCATCCATCTTCTTCATCTCATCTTCCATCATCGGCACTCGGCAGCTCCAGCCCAGAGCATCTTTCATTTCAATCAATCATCTCTAGTCCTAGTCTCAATCTCGTAATTTCTATTTCACTTACTTCACACCATGTTGCAATGATTGTATTTTTCCCTTTCCTTTGAGATTCTGATGTATAATAATACAATTATTTACGGCTGAATACAGTTTTAATGGTGGTCAACTTGAGATACCAGCTTTAAGGTAAGTGCATCTTGTTATCAAGTTAAGTTTTGCATTCATAGTTACATATCAAAGTAGGCTAGGCTTGCACTCTAGTCGTAACTTAATAGAGCCAAGCCTAATTTATTAAAATCTTTTAACCTACAAATGCAGTACCAACTGCTAAGATTGATTGTTAACACACAAATAAAATATGTAAGTGTGATAGTACGCAAGGCTATGTAGGCTAAATAAGTTAGGCCTATAAGGCTAATATTTATAAGCAAACAAAAAAAACTCATTTGAATGCTGAAAGAAAAAGTAAAACCTAGCCTAATCATTGAGATCATTGTGAATGCATTTGCCCAGAAAATTGAAGTTATAAGTTATGAAGTTATGAGCTCCAAGGCTTGAATCATCTCACATCTTTTTTACCTAACCTTAATTTAGACGAAAATGAAAATGCGTTTTCCTGTTATGCCATTGCAGTTTAACCTTTGACATAGCCTAGGATGTCAATATTATTTTACCTAAACTTAAGTTACATACCAAAGCCAATTTACAACTTCAAAGTAGGCTACAATTTAATTATCCTATGAATTGGTCAATAATTTGTAAATTTAAAGTAGGCCTAGGCCTAACTTACATTAAGTTACCGTTGGCCTTTTTATAAGCGGAACAACTTAATAAGTTATTTAATCCCAAGAATAATTTTAATGCTAGGGACTGCATTGATCGATTTTACTACACTAATTTCGCTAATTTCGACCTCTAAAGTTAAGTAGCTTAACCTACCATTACAACTACTTACAGTAGCCTTAACAGTAAAAAGTTAAGCTTATACTAAAATTATTTTAAAACTGAAAGATCAGTTGCTAACATTACCGTATCACTTTAGTTGGGTATCTGTGTTATTTTAGTTCATAGGTACCTAACTAACTTAGCGGCTGCACTTTACTTGACGTCCTACACTCATTCGAATGAAAATATCGAACGATATATTGATTAATTTGTTGCTTCATTCGATATATCGTTTGGTTAGTTAGGTAAGGTTAACCTAACCTAACTAACCATACGATATATCGAATGAAACAATCAAATGAAAATATCGAATCAAAAAAACAATCGAATGAGTGTAGGACGTCAAGTAAAGTGCAGCCAACTTAGCCTTAACTTAGGCTATTTAATTCGTGGGTAGCAGGCCTAACTTGTTCTGTACCGGTCAAGGTTGCTGTACTTTAACTTACAGACTATTCTTATGTTTGTTATGACTTAACTTAAAGTCACACTGCTTATGATTAAGTTATGGCAGTAATTTGAACTTAACTCGAACAGTAACCAACCTGTACAATTAGCACTTAAATACAAAAAGCACTTAAACACACATTCTTCACAGGTACGAGGCAGAATAACAATACTGGTATGTTATTTAAAACATAAAATAACTTTTATGCTAGGGCCTAAATTGATTTTACGATAGGCTCTACCTTAACCCTCCGAGTGTTATGTGTCGTAAAAGCGACTCATAACACACCCGCTGTGGTGTTATGCGTCGCTTTTGCGACTCACAAACACTGTTTACGGCAACGGCTCTGGGACTGGCTGAATCGGATTGAACTGGATCGAGTTAGGTATCATTTTTTTCAGCAGATTCAGAGCTTTCTCCTGATGTCTGTTTCTTCATTTTAGTTCTGAAAATATTGTAGCAGACAGCTGACGTGCGTATTTGTAAACAGCTTGGTTAACCTCGCACCGATGACTGATGTGTTTTATTACGTTTATCATTGAATTAGTGTTAAAATCAAAAGTAGTGATATACGTGGCGCATTATAAGAAGATTTAAGTGATTTTGAAGGGCTGGTTGATGATCCTGAAGAAGTAGGTAGTGATATTGATGTAAATTATCAGCCAGATTCCTAGCTATGGTTAGGCTATGCATTCTTAGCTAAACGCTATGTACCGAAATCGGTTTTTGCCCATAACTTAACTTATTTATTTGCAAATCTACTTCCTTATATTGTTATATTTTTGGAATCCTCATAATATTCTGAACAAAGTGGCTATTTTAAAATATTTGTAGACCGATAAATTATAATAAACTTATTGAGCGCGAACTTAATTTTTTTTCATTTAGCCTATTTTATAATGTTAACCCCACAAAAATTGTTGAAAATTTTTTTGTAATGTTTTATATGTTAGGGCCTACCTTGAAGCCCATAATTTTCCAAACAAAATAATATATAAAACAGTATACTTTACATTGTTTTTAAGTTTCTAAGATACATTTTAATAAAACCCTGCGATTGCGCAATAAATGGGCGAACATTAAGACCAAAAGTAACTTAGAGACACTTGGAGGGTTAAGTTACTAAGTTAATTTCAACCACTAACTTACCATTACAACTACAGTAGCCTAATATCAGTTATAAGTTAGACTAAAAAGATATTTTAAACTAAAATATCAGTCGTTAACATCATCACTTTACATTAGTGTAGTTGGGTTGTGTTATTTTAGTTAATAGGTACCATTAAATTACTCTTTAATATTATAATAGCCTACCGCATTGTTTATGTTGAGTTTTTGTTTTCGTTAACCAAAACTAAGATCGTAAAATCATCAATAATAATGAATGTTCTCTCTTGGAACAGGAAAGTACCCCTAACTAACTTACAATAATTTGTTGGTAGGCCTAACTTGTTCTGTTCCGATCAAGGTTTGCTGTACTTTATATAGGCTATTCTTATTTGTTTGTTTTAACTTAGTCACACTGCTTATGAATATTGCACAGTAATTAAAGCCTAATTCAAACAGTAATCAACCTGTACATTTTTGCAGGTGTCTTAAGTTACATAAATACAAAAATCCCTTAACTTAAACACTCTCATTCTTCACAGGCACGCAGGCATGTATAAAACCATGGGGCACGAGGTCAAAATAAAATCAGTAGACTCTACACAAGACTGACCAAGTTTCTAACATCCTTTGAAGCTACAGGTAATTGACCTTTTCAATTGATTTCCTCTGTCAGCTCAGCATGTTAGCCTAGATAGTTTTAAGAATGTGATGTATGCATAGTTGATTGTATTGTAAGGCCCTTTTACAGACTTAAAGATTTTTCAAAGCGGACTTTAGCTCTATTAATCTTGCATGATGTTTTTCTAAAATATAGCTATCAGTACTCTTATTTGGTTTTTAGTACAATGAACTTATTAACTTATTTTGCTTTAATGTATCATATTTTACTGTTGTATGACTGACTTGTGCTTTTCAAGCTTTCATGACAGTATCAATTGCATGTAATTGTCTAAATATTAATAATTGCTTTATATCATATTGTATGGCTAGGCCTATCGTTTGACTAGATTAATCAAATCACAAAACATGTATTTATAATCATAGGGAGTGTTGTGTCTGATGAGGCTACGTTGTAGGTAATCTCAGCCAAGATCGATTAGTAAAGTAGGCTAACCAGATGGTAAAAACTAGGTAGGCTATCAAGGTGAGCACTTTTTTTGTCTAAAAACGCCGTGTGATTTCGCAAACTGTCATAACCTAACCTAACTAACCAAACATGCTGTTAATGAAAAAATCAAATGAAGGTTTACTATCGAAAAAATTGTTCTGTTCATAAAATAAAATTATAACTTAAATGCCTCAAATTCTAAAAAAAGATGTACAGTTAAGAAGTAATCACATTCTAAGCAAAATCTTTGACAAAATGTTAGTGTCACCGGTGGGATTCGATCTGATAAGTACTTGATTATGAGCCGAACACTATCCACTTCACCTCGAACACCGATGGCAGCACTTCGTACCGTCGCGGTACGGTAACAGTGTTCATTATATGTATTCATTCAACCATTAAGCGATTGAATCGAGCCTATTTGGTCCGAAATAATATAAATACTTAGTATTTCGTTATTGAACCGATAGTACATGGCGTTTTTGTACGAAAATTTGCTCACCCTCTTAAAAAGATTTAACAAATTTGATCATTTCACAAAAAAAAAAAAAATTTAGTTAGATTCTGACACCTAATGTTTGAAGTACGGTAGCCAAGAAATATATTGACTACCGGTTTGAAAAATATATTGGTAGGCCTATATACGGTTTGATATAATGGCAAAAAATAGCTTTTGGTTTTGTTGTATGTTTAGGAAATCGTTCCTCGAATGACTTATTTTACAACAGCCTACCGCATTGTTTATAATGAGTTTTTGTTTTCATTAACTAAAAATAAGGCAATAAATAGCAATATTAAAATATTTCTAGATAATTTGAAGCTTGTATAAGAGTAAATAAATAAGCCTTTATACTCTCTTCTGACTCTATCTCTGCCTAACTAAATTTTTAAATACATGCCTTTCATACATAATATAGGTTAATATAGGTCTTGTATTATATTTGGCTATTAATACAAGTAGGCCCTATTCAAAAATTTAGTCAATGGTAATATGCAAAATTTTTTTGACAGTGGAGAAAATAGTGAAAAAGTGAGTATTTAAATTACAGACCTTGCAAACCATTAACAATCTCCAAGGCCACGTTTAACCTTAAAATAGTTATTTTAAAGTGGGCCATGAGGCACAATTTTTATTTCAGCTGCGGTTTTCAATACGGACAAAATGAGAACATTCTATTGGCTGTCATGGTCTGACGTCACTCTCTTCTCTTGAGAGAACACCATTAGCGCAACGATACGAAGTTCAACTATCGATGTTGTGTAGTGGATAGAGTACTCAAACGATGTCTAAGAGTTATCCAGTTTGAATCCCTCCGGTGACACTAACTTTTTGTTAAAGATTTTGTTTAGAATGTGATTACTTCATTTTTTGTTAGAAATTGAGGCATTTATAATTTTATTTCATGAACAGAACAATTTTTTCGAATAGGTAGTAAACCTTCATTAGATTTTTATCTTATATCTCTTTTTATGTTATTAGCAAGTTTGGTTAGTTATGTTAGTTTATGACGGTTAGGTTTTATATTTGTTTTTTCCATTTTTTTACTCTCATTTCGTCCACAATGAAACCGCAGTATTAGCTGAAATAAAAATTGTGCGGCCGTGAGAGCGTGGAACATAGATCAAACATGCCTGATGTACTTCATAAGCTCTATCCAACCCTCAACAACATGAAATAGCAGCTGTTCTTGTTCTATACTTTCAGATACTCCCAATTCCCATGCAAAATAAACTTGACACAAAGACTTTTTTTTAGGAAAGGGAAGGATGCCGCTACAGTCGAAGAGAATCGGGCCTATGGAGATGTCAGCGAAGATATAAACACTTTTCAACAATCACTAGGCCTATACATTGAGCCTACAGTTATTAATTTTTAAATCTTGAAAGTGATTTACTTTTGTTTACAGATTTGATATATTATAAGAATATTTTGTTCGCTTGGTTTTTTGGTCTCTTTTGTGATTTGACCTTCTATAAAAAATGTATATTTTGGGCTTTGTGAAAGAATAAAAAATATATATTTAAATTGTGACGTTATTTTTTACCTTTTTCTTGAAATAAATATACATAACTTATGTCAACAATATTCCACAGAAATACTTTTTGCAGATTTTATGAAATAGCATAGCCTACTGTTATTCGAGAATAAAATAATATATTAGTAATAGTTTTGTCAGTCAATAGAGTATTACCTAAAATGAGTTTTTTTTTGACATTTTTGTTATGCATTTATGCAGGCCGAAGTATTTTGAATACTTAGATTGTTTAACAATTATTTTGTGATTTTTTTAAAATATTAGCTTAATATTGACAGGATAATACAGACGATACAAAAATACTTTAACAATGTTGTAAAAACAATAATCAAAATACTGTTAATGTTAACAAAATATTGTTAATTTATTATTTCTACATTTTTTTTCAAATTGTCTTAATATTGGCTTAATATTTCCATATAACATTGAAACAACGTTGAAAAATATTAAGACAACATTGTCAAGACAATGTATTTTGTTTCACGAAAACGTTGTATCAATATTGTTACCACATTGATCAATATTTGGGCAATATTGAATGAATGTTGTTTAAATGTTGAAAACAACATTGAAACAACGTTGAAAAATATTAAGACAACATTGTCAAGACAATGTATTTTGTTTCACGAAAACGTTGTAACAATATTGTTACCACATTGATCAATATTTGGGCAATATTGAATGAATGTTGTTTAAATGTTGAAAACAACATTGAAACATCGTTGAAAAATATTAAGACAACATTGTCAAGACAATGTATTTTGTTTCACGAAAACGTTGTAACAATATTGTTACCACGTTGATCAATATTGGGGCAATATTAAATTAATGTTGATTAAATGTTAACAACAACATTGAAACAACATTGTTATGCTACTTGGGAGATTCAGTTTGAGTTTATAAAGTAGGCCTGTGTGCCAAACTTTGTCAAAGGCTTGACTTACATCGATAAAGACAGCTGTACAATAGTTCTTTTTCTCAAGGTCTTCTTTAATTGTATTAACCAATCTATGTACTTGTTCAACTGTGGAATGCTCCCGTCGAAACCCAAACTGATGATTTGGAATCAAGTTTCTGTCCTCTACTTCTTCAAGTAGACGATTCAAGAAGAGCCTCTCAAACAATTTTAATAATTTTAATTTTAATTTTAAATAGTTATAGCATGTTTAAACATTATTTAAAGGAACTTGTTTGGAATGATTTGTTACAATTTTAATTTATTACAATTATGCATTTAATTTATTTACATTTTTAGTTGAAGTTAAAGTAATATATTATTGTTATTTATTCCAATAGTTTATTTGTTATTGTTACCGTTGAATTTTTACAGATGTTTGTGTCTTTGTTGTCTTTGTTTTTGTTATTAATTACTCAAGAGACAATTAAGAACTCATAAAACTGCATGCTACTGATTCAAACTGACAAAACTGTATGGTAAATAAGAAACAATATTTTTAGTGCAGACAAACCATTTGTGGTTTTTGCACTTTTGTATCCTATGTATTGGCAATTATTGTGTAAATAAATTTCTTGATTGATTGATAATATGAAAATAGACTATGAAGGAGAAAGCTCTGTAGCGATAGGTACCATGACATTCAAATATATTTGGAGCAAAACAGGTTGTGACTGAATTGTTGACTGATGGTTGTTGGCGCTTTTAAACACTAATTCATTTAAAACTTCAACCATTTTTAAAGTTACCGTAGCGAAGCACGGGTATTCCGCTAGTTATATATAAGGATGTGTGAGAGCATTTTATGATTTCTTCTTTATGTTGAGATTCCATTAGACTCTTAACTTTTAGCGAATTTCCCTATAGGGAAGTAGCTGTTACCGTAGGTGGCACGGTAAGACCTAGACCCGGGACCGATTTACTTTTTCATTTTGATGTTCCCAGAGGCCCAAAACACCATTTGTTCAAATTTTTATATATGTATATATATATATATATATATATATATACGTCTGTGAACGCGATAACTTGAGTATTTTTTGTCCGATTTTGATGAAATTTGGTTCAAAGGTGTAAGGCGGGCTAAACTTGAATGAGTTCGCGAACCAGCATGATCGGACCATGGGAACGGGATTTTACGGGGGGGTTTTATAGGGTAAAAAATTGTTTTTCTCATTTTTGACCCTCAAAACAAAAAAATTTCCAATTTATCTCTAGACCTTTTTAAAGAGCTTAGAAAACAAATAATTTAGTATATCAAAGTGTTTTTGTACGGTGATTGGTAACGGAGAAAATTCAAAAACTGTAAATTTAAAATTCCCATGTTATTCTTAGGGTGAATATTGTAAAATGTTGTAGTTTGCTTGTTTATGGATATATTTTGATCAAACTTTGCAAATTTATTTATTTTATACTAAGCTATTAATATTTTACTAAAAAAATTAGTTTCCTTGTCGCAGCAAACCTAGGTACTCATTAAACCTAATGTCTTTTAAATATATTTAATTAACAACTATTTCAGACAAATGGAAATTCGCTTAGTCGGCAGGTTTGCTGCGGCGGGGGTATTTTGATTTGAGTTTTCTTTTTGAAACTGACCTTTCTGCAAACCTGTAGTTCGATTTCAAGCAAAACATTGCTTTGTTGAGCTATGTGTAAATTGTTCGTTAACTCTAAATGTTTCTTAAATAATTTATAGCATTTTTCTTAAAGTAAAGATGTTTTATTTCATTTTGAATCCAAATGGTCTCAGCAGACTTTGTACAGCCTGATGATGGTGCTACACAAAGGCACCAAAACTAGTTGTGTCAACAACACTGTTGGATTGCTTAATAGCAGGTATTTGAACCTTTTCTAATATTATTAGGCAATACGGAGGCTAACACCTACAATGAAAAAAACGCTTATTTAATTTTTAGGTATAGTCTGATTCACCGTTGTATTATAACTTTTTTTTCCCACTGGTATCGCATCAGCGACGTGGTCGTCAGGTTTTTATACTTTTCTTGCTTTTAATTTATATAAAATTGATTCATTTCCTCTTCAGGGATGCACGCATGGCCTAGACATATATTTCATCAACACTGTAGTAGGCCGCTTGACTTCAAAATGTTTTTAGCAGGTTCTTGAATTTGTTGATAGAAGGCTCTTGCGTGATCTACTGAGGCAATTTATTGTAAATCTTTATACTATTGAAGTAAGGGCTCTTGCTTGCAAGGGTGGAATTTACTTGTGGTACATGTGGATTTGTTGCTCTTCTTGTATTGTAATTGTGGACCATGCTGTTAGTTACAAAAATATTAGGACTCTCCTTAACGAGCAATGCAGATTCCAATATAAAGAGAGACGGAAGTGTGAGAATGTTCAGTTCTTGGAACAGAGGTTTACAGTGTGTCCGTCTATGGACTCCACATTTTCTTCTAATTGCACGTTTTTGAAGGATGAAGATGCGTTTTGCCTCACTACAACTACCCCAAAATACCAAACCATATGAAATTATGCCATGAAAGCAGCCATAGTAAACCTTAAGGAGAATCTCGATGTCAACCAGCTTTTGCAGTCCAAACAGCAGACAGATGACAGTCTGGGCGCTATTGCATCGACATGGGTTCCCCAATTAAGGTTCTCCGTAATGTGTAGACCCAAGTAAACTTTATTTATGAAATGAGTATCATAATCATGTCGTTGGCGCAACACTGGTGGCCTCGTCAAGCAGAGAGCAGAGGCGAAACCCGGAGCTTGTATCTAGCGAAATTTCTAGCCCCCAAGATCCAAACCAAACAGGGATACCAACATATGACCTGGTTTTGTCTTACAAGTTGTAAAACTTTCTCACAGTGGTTGTAATTATTTGGGCTTTTGGAAAAAAGAACACCCTGTATATGTGTGTCCATAGCCATGACAACTGAAGCAAAAATTATCCAATTTTAATTAAATTTGGTACAAATATGTATACCTATGTTTATTCGAACGAGTTTGCGAACCGATATGACCGGACTATGAAATGGGAGTTTTGACTTTTTACACAGTGGTTGTAATTATTTGGGCTTTTGGAAAAAAGAACACCCTGTATATGTGTGTCCATAGCCATGACAACTGAAGCAAAAATTATCCAATTTTAATTAAATTTGGTACAAATATGAATACCTATGTTTATTCGAACGAGTTTGTGAATCAATATGACCGAACTATGAAATGGGAGTTTTCATTTTTGACCTCCTATTAAAAAAATGTTGCTATTCCTTTCCAAACTATTTTGAAGAGGTTAGAAAACAATAATTTAATATGTTGAAGCATTGTTACGCACTTAGGGTGGATAGTTAGGGAGAAAATTCCAAATAAATATAAAATGAAAATTCCCACGTTATTCTTATGCGGAAAACAAAACTTCATGTTGCAGTTTGCTTGTTTATGAACATATATTAGTAAGATTTTGATACACATTGGCAAACTTATTTATTTTATTCTATACTAATAACGTTTGGTCAAAAAAACACTTCTTACCTTTCTGTAGCAGCAAACCTAAGTACTCGTTAAATCTAATTTTATTTCAAATAGGGAATAAATGTAACATTTTTAGGGAGATATTTTAGTGGCAATACAATTTATATCAGGTCTTCTTAATCAGGGTTCTTCTTAGGTTAATGGTAATGAAAAAGGTAATTTCCTTAAGTGCTTCGGCCCCCATTTCAATTATTTGTAAGAGATCCATAATGTTGCTGACAAGCTTTCTTTATAAGGGTTTAAAATATGAATTGTAATCTAACAGCTGATTATTCAGTTGAATGTTTTTTGTTGAAAATGCTGTAATAGTCATACAGATGATATGAATGTTGTTTTTACTATCAGCTGTCTGTTTTGTTGTCCAATATTGTTCCTTGTCATGAAAACATTAATGAGAAATACATTTGATTATTTTATAGTTTAAATTCCTTTTTCGTCGTAGTTATACTTAGATTATCCCTAAACACCTCCACTTGGGAGAATAATTCAAGAGGTTATGGACCCA